GCCTGTGACAGAAAAGATCACCCACCTGTACATGCTGAAGACAGTGTTGCCATTGTGCATGAGGTACACGTAGACCTCCTCAACATCCTCATGCTTCATCATGCTGAAGGTGAAGAAATACACACCTGTAAGAGGGAGGGAGATAGACGTGTTTACGTCAGCACAGAGGACGCTGTGCAGCTGGAGAGAGGGGACGGATGTTCCCAGAGACTGCAGACTGCACTCAGGAGTCTTCTGCACAGAGTTTCTTCTTTATATTTGCATGAGTGTCTCTTTATCTGCTGCAAGTTTTGTTCACGTTCGCAAATGTGTGTAGTGCGTGCCCAAGTCACCTCACCCTCTTCACCCCCGCCCCAGTCAGGATTACAAAGCTTTAAAAGAAGAGTTGTGTGTTCGCTGTGTGTCCTGGCGTGCCCTGGCCCATCTGACAAAGTGCTCAGAGCAGAGAACATGGTGTTACTGGGTCTAGACTAATTATGCTCAGCATCCAGCACCACGGTCACGTTAACAAGGTTCAGAGCCCTGCAGGGGATGAACAAATGCCTTCCCAATGCCCAGCAGCCTGAGCCAAGCATGAGATTTCAACAGAAAAACACACTTGGTGTGTCACAGGCCTTAGCCAAAGATAAAGAAGATGTGGAACCCTAAACAAATGCTTGCTGGCCCTAGGGAAAAGGTTCCAGTAATTTCCCATGGTATTCGTTATAAAAGGGTGCACTTACATGCCATAAACAGAAAGAGCCACACGACTCTGTTAATAAAAGTCTGAATTTTCTTCATTTCTTCAATTCATTTGAATTTTTTTTCATTTCAAATGAATTTCATTCGTTTCATTTCTTCAGTTCATTTGATTTTTTTTTTTTTAAGAACCTATGGCTCCTAACAGAAAACAATGACATATCATCTAAATCCATGGTCTCTGGACTTAGATCCACACCCTAATAACTCTCCATCCTGTTTCCAAGGCTGTAAATCTTTATGGGAAGAAAATGCACTTGCAAACTCAGGATCGCCTGGAGTGGCAAGATTTTCCTCTCAGCTGGTCCATTTGATCTGGGTTCTTTTTATTGACAGGATGTTCCATGCTGGCATTGAGAATGTGACATGGCCTGATAGACTCCAATACCAGCACGGAAGATTGTGTCAACAAATAAGAATTCAAACAAGCCGGATGAGCTGAAGGGAAAATGCAAACACCAAATGATCAGGGATTGGGGAATGCCTTTTAGAATGGGACTTTTAGTCTTTAGTCCTGTTTATTTCCATGTTATGTTTTTGTACTAAAAGACTCATAAGAGAAAAAGGCAGAAATACCTTGAAACAAAAGAAAGAAAGGAGAGAAGCCACTACTGGAGAATTCTCTGCTCATTTACAAAGATGCAGTCAGGCAAGTTAGGAAGTGTGATGGTGCAATGTCCATCGATGTGCTTCTGAAGTACGTTGAATAAAATAAAGACTATGATTACACTTTATTAAGTGCCAGCCATGAATATGTGATGCACTGAGTATAAAGGAAATGGTCTAAATATCAATTGTGCCCATTCAAAATCCCCAAAATTGGCTCTTGGATGAAAAGTAAAGACAGATGGAAATTACAGGGCTCCAAGAAAGAGATTTCAATGTGTTCAGGTGGTTTACATTTTAGGAAATCTCATATAATCCATTCCCTCTCTCTCTGCCAAAATAAAAAGGAAATAATTTTCAATGCCTTAGGAAGGTGAAATTGAAAACAAAATGAGAGAAAAAGATATTAGTTTTTCTGGAAAAATGATGAGCACTATATAAAAAATATATTGCAGAAATAGTTTAGAAAGTGCAGACTAAGAAGCCAGGTGGTGAATAATTTAATGCCAAGAATTGGAAATATTTAAATGAATATGTATTATGTTCACATTCTACTTGATCTTCTCTATCTCTTGCTGTGTGTCTGAGAGCTGGATAATGAGTAAGGATGACAGAAAAATCAATGCCTTTCAGCTGTGGTGTTGGATAATAGCACTGAACACCCCACGAACTGCCAAAAGAACAAACAAATATGTCTTGGAGAAAGTGCAGTTAGGGTACTCCTTGGAGGCAAAGACAACAAAGCTTCATCTCACCTACCCTGGAAATGTTGTTAGAAGAGGGTATTCCTTAGAAGGGGACATCATGCTTGGGAAGGTCGAGGGTCCGAGAAAGGCAGGAGAACCCTCAACAAAATGGATTGATACAATGGGCTCAAATGCATCTGAAATGATGAGGATGGCTCAGGAGAGGACAAGATGCAAATTTGTTCTTCGTAGAGTTGCTTTGAGTTGCCCTTGACTCTGTGGCACCTAACACCAAGTCCCGCTCAAGACCCAGAGTGAAACCAGAGGCAATGTGCTTGCACTGTGGTTTTGGGAACTTTGTATTTCCGTACTTACAAAATCAGTCTTCTCTGTTTAATCATTCCCAGAGTTGAAAAATTAAAACAGCCATTTTAGAGTTGACTGGATGAAGTTTAAATAGTAAACCACCGGAGTCAAAGGACGGTCAGTGTTGTTTCAAAAGGTACCAAAGAGGAGGAGGAGGAGGAGGAGGAGTTGTTGTTGTTGGGTGCCATTAAGTCAACCTATGAATAGTGGATGTGACCCTTGCCCTGTCCTGCTCCATCCGCACAAACCCCACTACGCTTACACCTGTTGTTACAGTCACTGCATCAGTCTATCCTGTTGAGGACGGACGTTCCACTCTTCCTCTGACCTCTATCTTTCCCAGCATGATGTCTGTTTTCAAGGACTGGTCCCTCCTTACAACATGCCCACATTAGATGAGATGCAGGTTTCACCATCCTTGCCTCTAAGGAGTATCTTGGTTGTACTTTCTCCGAGACAGACTTGTTTGTTTAAAAAGCTAATTAAATCAGAGGCTAGTATGCCTTCATAAATTATTTTATTCAGTTCATGTTCATAATTTTAAAAACCATGATCAGTTTAATTTATTTTGGTTTGGGTGGGTTTTTTGTCATACTTCTGGGTTTTTGAAGTGGATTTTTTTTGTCCAGATTTTGATTCATTTACTTTGACACCAAATAAAAATCTCTAGGAGCCACTTGTCTCTACCTTGATGAAGAATAATTCTTCACTCCCTTCGTGCCTGCCTGCCTTCCTTCCTTCCTTCCTTCCTTCCTTCCCTCCCTCTTTTTATCCTTTCTCCCTCCCTTCTTTCTTTTTTCTTTATCTTTCTTGATCACTACATTGATGAATTGAAACATGCATTTATTTTTACATCTCACCTGATACTGGAGCTCCAAATCTACCAGTCATGACATCAAAGAAATTTCCAATGTTGGTCTCAACGCTGCTGAAGATAATCCCACTGTTCTGGTTGCTGAAGTGAGTTGCAAGAGAAGCCATGAATGCAATCTAAGGAAAGAGTTGGTGCTTCATTAAGAAGAAATGAACAAGATTTAGAAAACAAATCTTAAATACGTATGTTGTATAAGGTAACAATCAATTTTGGAAAAAAACACAATGATAGAGATCCCAGTATTCAGATTTTGCCATTTAGAAGGAATGATTAAAAGGACATGAGTTAGTCTCTTGATGGTATGCACTTTCATCCTCATTTTCTTTTACTATATTTTGTGTTTGTTTATTTACCAATAAACATACAAGTCTTTCTTATGCATTCCATAACTAAAAAAAAACCCCAAACCAATGACTTTTATTGTTGTTAAGTGCCTTTGAGTTGAGGACGACTCATAGCAACCCCATTAAGAACAGATCTGAACCCTGTCCTATCCTGGGCCATCTTTATCATCCCAAACACATTTGAGTCCATTGTTACAGACACTGTGTCAATTCATCTACTGAGGGTCTTCCTCTCCTTCACTGACTTTCTACCTTGCCAAGGATGAAGTCAATTTCTAAGGACTATTACTCCTCACAATGTGATCAAAATACATGAGATGAAGCTTCACTATCCTTGCCTCCAGGAAGTACTACGTTCTCCAAGACATATCTGTTTCTTCTTTTGGAAGCCCATGGACTATTCAGCTCTCTTGTTGGTATGTGCCATTGAATCAGAGCCCACCTATAGCTTATCCTCCAGAGGGTTTTCAGAGGTTATAAATCACGTGGGAAGAGATTGTCTCTCTTTCTCCTGCAGAGCAGCTAGTGGATTCAAACCACCTGCCTTTGGCAGAACAGCTTCTTACCCACAAGGCTCAGGGCTCCCAGGCATTAGAAAATAGGAACAAAGTACCATCAAGTTATAATTCCTTACAATCTGCTATGCACTGGTTTCCCCTCCTCTATTTCAAAGGTACCATCCAGGAAGAGTGCAAACGGTCATTACAAAGACAGAAGAGGAAGAAAAGA